CAAGCATCTCTAGAACAAAATTACAAGGAAATGTTAATTAAAGAGCACATTCAAAGTAAGAATGGAATCTGAGTAGCATATAACAGAATAATGATATCCAGAATATAATTATTAAGTAGTTCTGTCAAAAATGCTTCTTAATCATCTACAGGAGAGGCTGATCTTTTAGTGTAACATTTTAATTCCTGACAAAATGACTGAAATAGTACTAAGCAATCATTAATATGGGCAGATGCTGATTTAGAACAGTAATAGATTACTGTGCTTAATCAGAAGTGGCTGTCATTAAGACATTTAGTAAGAAATTACTTCCCAGTTTTCTATTCAGCCTCCACGTATGATTGATGTAATAGAAGTCTGCGCACAGTCTAGCATTTGGTGCAAGTTTTATACATAAATAAGGGGTCTAGAGAGGTTGTGAAGTCTCCACACTTAAGAGTTATTAAAAATACAGCTGGACACCTTTACAACTAGGAACAGCTAGAGGTGTCCTTTTATCATACAAATCATATTAATTTGAGAAATTCGATTTTGTTCAGTTAGGTGAAGGCAAATCTCCGAAGAAAAAAAAGGTAGCAAGAAAGGGTTAAGGGCTCTCAACATCTTTGGGTACTGCCTGTGGAGACACTGTACTTACCCTGCCCATAATACACCGAAGCTGTGTAAATGTACTAACATTGCTCTATAGGTCAGCTCATAAGTTTCATCCTGGTTTAGCTGAGGATCAGTGCTGCGCTCCTGTAGTCACTTGTTTATCATTTCACTTACTGAAATACTGTCCAAAAAGTTCTGAAGAAATACAGAACAAAGCCTAAGTGCTGAAAGGATTAAGTGCCACAGACAGAGTATCTTTTTGAGTAGCAGTCCTGAAAACTCTACTGTTCAATCAGCTGTTTAACTTCCCACTCCCACACTCAGTAGACATTAAAACAAAGAATTAAGTTTTGATATCCTGCAGGCCACCTCCAAACACACATTATCTACATAAACAAAAAATTAGTTATGTCTTAAGAGGCAAATTATGTTTGCTTCCCTAACATATCTTGAAATAGCAGGAAACTCAATAGGTCTTGCATATACATTATCACAGAAATATTTTAAAAGAAACTGATCAGAGGCATTTGAGACTACTCTGCAAACCTAGTCATCCATCCTTGTGCTTACTTTACAGACCACACAAATGTAGCGGAAGAAACAACCTAAAATCATTTCTGTGAATTGAACAGGAATGCTAACATAATCACTGGAAATGCTCTTAATTGGTGTGGCTCAGTGGTGCATTTCAGAGCCGTTAGATCCTCTGCCGCTGTGGAACTCTTTTCATGTCCTGGCAATCACAGTCCAGCCAGCAGTTTGTTTATCATATTCAGTATGAGTTTCCGGATCTCCAACAAAGTGGTATTTACTCCGAGGCAGGGAAGACTGCAGTAATCCAATAAGTTCTCATTAGCCTAAAACGCAGAAACATCTGCTGGGGTCATGAGCTGCTTACTTGCTGTTGATGAGCAAAGAATCAGCCCCATTTGAAGCCAGTGTGAACAAAGAATTGTAGGGTTGGGGGGTGGTGGTGAAGAGACAAACAGGCCTCGGTTATCTCCTGGGCTGCAGCTTCACCACAGTGCACCATAGGCACGAGGGATGCTCCCTTACATTGACCCCTGGTGACCCTACAGCACAGAGCACAGGAATTACAGCAAAAAATGCTTTGACTCAGCCCTCCTGAGCTGGTGGTCTAAAGAGTCAGGAAACACCAATGTAACTGAAGAGAATGTGGTCAGAGCTCCCCAAGAAATAGCAGAGTCCAGGCAGGGCACTCTGTGCCATGCAAACCTAGCTTAAAATTACCTTTGCCAGTTGCTTTTTACACAATTAGAATAATCTAGCAGGGGATGAGTACTTACATTTCTGTGTTCCCCCTCTCCCACCCAGGCTCTCAGACCTAGCTGGATCATTTCACAATTGCTTTCAGGTTTTGGAAGAGAAAAAAAACAGCTTCCCCCCAAAAAATAAAAAATAAAAGCACCTTAGGACGTATGGATATTAATAATTGGTCAATAAAGACTTCTGGCCTAAAAGATGAATACATAGGTAATAAGTATTGCACAAGTTCAGATAGAACATATATCTGCACTGATAGAAGTTACAGAAGAGAGAACACCATTAATTCTAGGTTAAAAACAAACAAAAAAAAAAAACCCCAAACCAAACAACCAAGAAGAGATTGATAACCTGAACAAAAAGAGCCCTTAAGTTGTTTCAGATTCCAACTGATCCAGAGCATGTGACATTGTCAGAAAATAAGCGGAAAATACAAAATAAGTGGTGTCACATCTGTTTAGCTCCTGCTCCAGTGATTTTGCAGCTCTTTGTTGTTGTTTGTACAGTGTTCTATGTGACAGCATTTAATGTCTGTGGCTATTTCAAGGTGAAGGAGCCTAAAAGACTTCTGCAAAGAGTCAAAACAGAACTACTTAGAAAGAATATTCAGGAAAATCCAGATGGAAAAGTCTCAGTTCAAAATAGCTTAAAACCCTTTCTCGGAGAGACTGAGCTATTTTATCTAACACTTGTTCTACCATTTGTACAAAGAATTACACAAGTGCTCAATTTAAGGAAAAGAATGGCCAGAATGCTCAAATCAATGCCTATGATTCTTCTGAAACAATGAGCACACATCCGCAAGCACTTTATTGTTTTGTACATGCAGTTGGCCTTTAGCTCCACGATTCCCACTTTCCTCAGGCTTGTTGTACAGACAATGACTGCCACCTGCAGCAGCAAGGATGAACTACTTCCCCAAAAGATACAGAGACTCTAACGGTGATGACAGCAAGCAGAACCTTTCCCCGCCTCCCTTCTTCACGGAAGAGAACTAACAGCATTACACTTCACTTTCTAGTGAAAATTCGTATTGCTGTCTGTGGTTTAAGTAACATTTGCGTCTATATACATACATACACAGAATAGTATGTCAGTGGTAGAAAGTCACTTGACTGAAGAGGATGGGTTTAATTTAAAAGTATTTCTTACAAAAAAAAAAAAGTTATTTTAAACCAGCAATGAATTCCACCATCAAGAAATCCTAGGAAAGACATTGACTTGCATCTGTTCAGTGAGACAGAATTATCAAGACACTATAAACTTGATTTTCATTTCATCCCTCCCCCCTCATATTCAAGAAGACCACTCTTAACTTTCTGAATCTCAGAATGACATAGGATAAGCAGGCTGAAGGCATGAAGACACACATCCTAGCAATTATCTAAGCCTAGGAGACGCAGTTGTTTGACCAGTTTCATCATATAAGAGCCTTCCTACCGTAACTTCCGTCCACCAAAAATAAACATACTAATTTGCATCTAACCTATGACTTGACTGCTTAGCAAAGTTCCCCATCCAGTGGCGAACTTTGTACATGCAGTTCATGTTCCCTGACCCAGAGCGTGATCCTGCTGTGCGCAGCACCTACAACTTGTGGACTGAATGGCAGCACACACAGGTGAACTATTAGGTGCAGTTCATCCAGTGTGTTTGAGGAAGAAGAAATACAGATTAATATCTTAAAACAACTCACTGCTCTCCTGCTGGCTCATGGATAAGTTGATGCGAAAAAAAAAAATGACACTGATATTATTTACAAGGCTGGTCTTAATAGTTTGTTATATATTGACTTCTCATCCAGTGCACTGCACATCTTCCTGATACAGTTACTACAGCTTAATTTAATCCTAATTTTTAACAGAAGGAGATAAGAACCTAGTTAGACCCTTAGTAATACCAGGAAGAAAGCCTGAATAGCACTTCAAGGAGTGCAAAGAGACTACTCCAAGTATTTTTTGAGCAGGCCAAAAAGACACAGCTTAAGCCAGAAACGACTATGCAGATAATACAAGGCCCAAATTCTGAAAACACATCACAGAAAGAGGTTCCACAGGTTAAAAAAAAAATAGAGGATACAGCATGCCTTTCAGAGCTAAATGCATTCCATGTATAAAAATGGAGAGTACGTTGAAAAAACTTGCCACATCTGGCAAGTATGTTCATAACAAGACCAAACTCTCAGTCACTTACTCAGTAGCCAGCTTTGAGGTTTCTCTCCACATTCACACTCTTCCTCAGCACTTTGCGTGTCACTAGGTCATGGCTTGCCATTGGGACTGGATAGCACCTACAAGTCCATCACCGCATACATAGTGTGTAAACCCAGACGGAAACAAAAGCTTCTGTAGCAGATCGGTGAAGATACTCAAACATGAAAGCTATTGATAATGCAGTAGTCTTTATTATTAAAAAAATAAATAAAGTCCTTAAAGAGAAGATGTCAGATTAATACAAAAGCATTTATGATTTTAATAATTTGTTTCCAAGACAATTATGCAACAAGTTACCAAAACTTTTCACTTGTTACAAGTGGCCGAAGTCCTTCCAATCATCAGCCTCATTACTTGCTAACCATGTAGCTCTTCCTCTCGGCAAATCCAGAAATAAGGGACAATAAAGAGTTCCTCCAGAAGTTGTTCGCTGAGTTGACCAATAATCATGCTGTGCATTCCTACAGATCCTCCTGATGAGATCAGCAAATGCACAATACCACATACACAATTCCACATCTATATTCTGGTATGTTGCCCTCTAAGGAACACCACTTTGGAAAGAGATACAAATCACTGCACTTGAAGTCAGTTCCAAGAAAGTAAACCAAGATGTTTGAGAATGCATAGGTCATATTTGCTAAGAACAACATTTCTTCTTATTTACCTTTCAGTACTGTCAAGGCAGAAAGTGATGAGAAAGGTGTCACAGAAATTCATGTTAAAAAAACCCAAAGATGTCTCCTTATGGGACAGCATGTAGAAGAAAACTCCATTTCTATATTAGTAAGCATACATGCTTCTAGTTTTATATTCTGGTATAACTGAAAATTTGGACAAGAAGTAAAAAGATAACAAGTCTGTTGGCACTGATTTAGTACCCACCCATTAGTAAGACAATACACAAACTTAGTCGAAGTACCAGTGTTTGACAACATCTAGTCCATGATTCTCTTCACATATTCTCTGATTATGCAGAGAAACTTCTTTACTAACTTCAAACGACAGGTTCTGCACTTGCGTGAAGCTCCTGGAACAAATGAAGCAAGCTAAGTCAGTTACTCTGGAGGATGATAACTTCTGCTTAAGCCCAAAGGCTATGTGCCTGGACATTCACATCAGTCTCCCACCATGCAGCCACCAGAAGAAAAATGCAAAGTGAGAATTTTCTTCCCAAAGGCTAGAATTCAGAGGGGAAAGGGGCAGTTTACAGGACGAGGAGATGTGTAGCTTTATGGTCTATCAGTGATGCTTTGTGTTTGTTGACACAACACGAAGAAAAAACCTTTTCCGTGCTCCTTGTACTTCCTAAAAACCATACAAATATATCATCCTTTATTTAAGACATAGTGCTTCCAGCTCTTTTCTGTCTCACAGAGTTCTCCGCTCTCCCTACATATTTGCACATTACCAGGGCTACTCTTGCTTGCTGAAATTCTCAGCTAAAGTGTCAGCGAATGGCACGCTAAAGTAATTCACTTAGAATACACAAATGAAGAAACCCAAACATCTTTACTTTGATTGCAGGTAGGGTAAGCTACGAACAGAATTAAACTTAGTGCTACTGTCCCCTCAATTAATCCTCCTCCAATATACATGCTGGATATATTGTGTTGAGATCTATAGATTTTCCTCTGAATATTTAGCCAACGAGTCTTTTCACCCAGTTGTTGTATATACCTTTGAAGGTCTTTATCCAGTTTCTGAGACGTTTCTTTAAGCTCTTTCAGTACACTACATGCTTTTGCACTTTCTTCTGAGTAGCTTGGCATAACCTCTGTCAGAAGTTCCTGTGTGATAGTTAACTGCTTTTGTAGTTCATCTACAATATGAGATGTTAAAAATATTACTTAAAATCCGTACAGTGGCATCAGTTAATACAAGATCACTTAATAGCTGGAGCAACCACACGCACAGGTGAACTAGATGATGGAAAACTACTGCTTGTTCAGCTTTCACAAACACACCATGAGAAAACTGGGAAAGCCAAATTATTTTTAGCTACTGTGACTAACACCGGCAACAGGCTATTAAAATTGTTAACCAAGCTCCCATTTAGAGTATGTCAAAGACTTTTACAACACAGAAATGCAAGAGGAAAAACAAGTTTTAAACATCCAAAATTCCCTGGCCAGTTACATATGTTGGTATTGGCATGTACACCCAACACGAAATTCATCCAGTCCTCTCCTTTAGCATTCACAAACCAAAAATACATATTCTTCAAAAAACTTTTTCCATTTGTTTTAAAGTGTAAGTAAGATTATTGTAAATGGTCTAAGAATCTTGTTTCTTGCAAACTAGCAGTTTACAAAGGTAACTTTTTGTCCAGACTTCAATACAAGTCACAAGTACTAATTTATTAACCAAACATTCTCTGATTCAAAACATCACACGATATATTTAAGCTTTAGTGCTGTAGGAAACATGGGCAAGTCTACCCACATGACTTTATCCCTTAAATATAGAAACAAGAAAAGATTGAAATATTTCTAAGCTCTACAACTTGCTTACCCATTAAGAACAATGGAGGAGGAGGAATGCCATGAATATGTTAAAAGACACAGAAACTTGCTAAAGAAAGTGTGTATGAAGACTGCTCTAGTTTAGAAAGTTATTTTTTTTTCTGCAGCAGGACAAAAAACTTGAACAAGTGCAGTTTATTGGTTAAACAGAGACAAGAATTAGTGACAGCAAAACATGTGATTAATATTGCAGCCCAGTGTCCATACAAGTTCTAAGAGCACACAAGGCCTCCAGTGGCCACAGATAGATCCAGCAATAACAACGTAAGAATTTTAGCATACCAAAGCCCACTATTTCTGAAAGTAAATTTGATTAATCAAAATTTCATACCAAGGTATGTTAGCATATCTCCTTCTATGTGGATATTCTTTATGGGTAATTCATGTCTAGTGGCATCCAGGGCAACTGCAAAGCTTTTATACTGCTCTTTAAACTGTTCACAAACAGGAACAAGGGGAGCAAGTACTTCCATCTGAAAAAGACACATGATGAGCCAACACTTCTTCAAAAGCAGCCATTTTGTTAGTACAGACCTGCCTCAATACAGAAAAATAATTTATAAAAAAACCAAGTACCCCTCTGCAACGCTCGTTGATAGAGGAATTCAAGAAGTTTGTGGTATGATACTCCTGCCATGCTGTTTAATAGGTTTTCCTCTACCATCTCAAAATACCAGTTTCCCCTGTTACTGTAGCTCAGAAGTATCGGCGACACAGTAGGCAAAGTGTTATATTTGATACTTTGACTGTAGTTAACAGTGTATTCTCCAAAAGACAAAAGTCCTGTTTAATTTTTGCAACGCATATTTGTTAAAAGCAAACATAGCTTGTTTTGGAAATTAATTATTCAAAATATAATTGTTCACTAGAAACTTTCCTCTTACAACCAGGACAGAACTATTGCTGTCTAACATATAAAAATAAGACAAATAAAGAGCAGATGTTCACTTCTCATTTAAGGGTTAGCATCTCAACTCTAGCCATACCTGTAATTGTGTAACTGCAGGATGTTCACGTGGTTTTAAGATACTTGCACCTCCTGTGCATCAACTGCAAACTGTTCTGACAACTAGTGCACTATTGCCGCCCCTTTCCTAATAGCTCTAACTTCTCTTTCCTGCGTATCCACAAGGGACACCCAAAAATGTGACAAAGGCATTTGCTTAGGTTACTAGAGAGCATTACATGCCTCAACAGGAAGAAGATATTTATTTTGTTTAAGATGCATAAAATTGTACCCCAGCAGGCCACAGAAGCAGAGAAATCTTCTCTGGATAAAGGACCACTTCGTAAGTGAGCTTGTTTAAATATAGAAATATAAATTGCAATAAAGCCTACCTGTTTGTCTAATGCATCATCAAGTTTCTGCTCTCTCTCTTTGAGTAGAATTTCACGCTTCAACTTGCAGAGCTTCTCCTGTTGTCTCTCCTTTTCTTCACACAACATGATCAAGTTTTTTTCTGCTTTTTTCTCCAGCTCAGCAAGATTTTTTCCTGCCTATTACATCCAAAAAATATTCACAACTCAAGTAATGCTACATCTACGTAATTAACGTATTCCAAATAAACAAATGGAAGCCTCAGACCAGGTCAAAGAGCTTCAATTAATGAATCAGAGACCACATGCGATAAGCACACTACATTAAGTTAAAGCCCTTCCCCATCTTTTTCCCCCACCCCCGCTAATATTTTTTGTAAAGTAGAAATATATATATACAGCACTGACTGAACCAGGAACTAAGCCACTGCTATAACCTCGAACTCCAAACGCTCTCACTCACGCTATTCCCAAAACCTCTGCATACCCCTACTTCATGATGAACCAGCACCAGCTTAATAAACCGGCATCGAATTCACTCTAAGAGAGTTTACAAAGCAATTCATACAGTTTTACAACCATAAACATATCAAGTGACAAAAATCTAACTTTTACGGATCAGAAAGTGTAGACAAGAAATTAAACAATTCCTCAATATCAAGTTCTTCTATCTGAAATACAAATACTTGACTGACACTCACCTTTATCCTTAGATATGTTAAAAGCAGTGTCTGAGACTCCAGCTCTTCCAGAGTACCAGAATCCTTTCCCTTCTGAAAAGAAAAGAATATCCTAGGTCAATTTTGATATTTAAGCAATTATTTTTCCAATGTTCAAATAAATTACTGAAAGTCCAGTTTGTGCCCGGAATCATAATCAACAGTCAGCCTGATGAAAAAAAAAAGGTTTTTAAACAATGCATGTTAATGAAATATACCTCCTTTTTCTTTGTTCCACCACTTTTTGTAACATTTTCAGCAGATTTTCATAATACCGGTACAGAACCTGAAGTTTCAGTGCTATATTGAATGAGATTCCTAAACAACGCACTTCAAATGAGGTTGAATCAATGTTAGTTTTCTGAGCAAAAAATGTCAGAAAATACTTAAAGATAACGTGATATAATTAAAAAGTACGGACAGGAATACAAATAGAATCGACTTAAGGAGATGCTACAATTGGAGCAGATTCTTTAACACAAGAAACAGAAGCAAAACTTCAGACAGTGTTGAGACATCCAATAAACAAAACACATGTCACTACCAGTAGAAGAGAGTTATCCTCTGACTTCTGCCAGAAGGCTTTAGATCACCTCAGGACCTCGAAGTTGTTATCAAGATAAACAGAAAATCTTAATTTCACACATTTCAAAATAAATATGCTTAACAAATGAAAGCAGTGAGACTTACCGCCTTTTTGGCTTTTTGTGTCCCTGTATCTCCTTTGCAAGCAGAGTTTGAACTAGGAGTCTTTTTGCAAACAGTTTTATCTGTATGACAACAGAAAAGTTATTGCTCTCTTCTACCAAAGTACATAGGATGAGTCAACATACCATCAGGTTCTTCAAAAGCAAAGATAATTTCAAAATTATTATGTGTACCAGTAAAGAAGACTTGTGCTCTATTTCTGGCTCTGATGATACTCATGAGATGTGGATCATATGAGCATTTAGCTTTAAGTGACAGTTCCTGATAGCTGTGTTATAATTTTCAGAAGGTCTGATAATCTAACACCCATCTGTTACAGGAACAAAGACTTGAACATACTTGGCTCTTTGATATTTGATCTTAAACAAAAAGAAGTGAGTACTCAAAAGATATGAAAAATTGAGAGGTTAATTTAAACCCCAAAGTTCTCAATATCTCTGCTTAAAAACACTTGAAATAACATTCACCTTATTTAACAAAATCTCCTTGTGAATATAGTAAAATACAAGGGTAACTTATCATCAAGTGACAGCACATATGTTAACAATAATAAAATAAGAAATTGAGTATGAGTGGAAACTTACCATTAATAGCTGAAAGATCAAGGTCCGGTCGACTAATTTTATCTCCATCTAATAAAGTGGATTGCAAGTCACCTTTCTCAAAACTACTCTGATTTAGTGAACTATGGGCAACACCTGTAGAGAGAAGCTGTTATCAAACTAAAAGAATTAGAACATATTCTACACAAGTTCACAATTTTATATGCTTTCACTAATATGTGGTAACCTTATGCAAACTTTTGCCCATTTACTTTATATGCACCATTTGTATGCTCCCTAACTTACCTAGGGATAAGGTAGTTCATAAAGTTATCCTCTTAAACATTTCACAATTCAACAACACCACTCAGGTGTGAAAAGGGAATAATGTTATTTCCTCAGGATTTTCAAGTCAAGTTAAGGTCCCACCAGAAAATTTTTTTGCAGTTTTTGCAAAAGAAAAAAAAACCCAAACCTGTTTTACAGGCAGCAGTTTTGGTGAGGCGAAAGAAAAAGAGTAGTTCAAAGCCTTGTGCAGAAGGCAAGAGATATGTTTATTTCAGACAACCCAATTACTGAATTCCAGATTAGTTTTCTATCAGAATGTCCAGAGAAAAGTTTAATGCGTTTCAGTTTACACCTCTTAATCCCACATCAAGTTTCTTAATTCCCTTTGTATACAGGTAATAACCGGCAGTGATGCAAGTAACACAAAATACCATCTCTCAACATCATTTTAGAGTTGTTATGAGTTCCACAGGTTGGAAATACTAATTCACAATAGAATAACTTTTAAATTCTTCCAGTACAACCTACCAGCAGAAGTCGTACATTTCTGAGGAAGAACTGATCTTGGTTTAGTTGCAGAAGGCGGTTTAGCAGCAGAAGATGGTTTAGCAGTAGACGTTGTAAAGGAATTTGAAGCATCCTGACAATGAAGAAACAGAAAAGACTGAATGTAAGCAGTAACTACGATCAGCAATATATCTTACCTCCAACTTGAACACCGACAATAAGCAACTACAATCCCAGGGCGCCTTGGTGCTTTGCCAGTCACCCGAGTACAGTCCCAAGTCCTTACCCCAGTCCGCATCTCGCCCACGGCTCCCTCATCACCACAGCAGAGCCGGTTTAATGAAGAAACAGAAAAGACTGAATGTAAGCAGTAACTACGATCAGCAATATATCTTACCTCCAACTTGAACACCGACAATAAGCAACTACAATCCCAGGGCGCCTTGGTGCTTTGCCAGTCACCCGAGTACAGTCCCAAGTCCTTACCCCAGTCCGCATCTCGCCCACGGCTCCCTCATCACCACAGCAGAGCCGGTTTTTGCTCAGGTCTCACTGCCACACGACC